AGCGGGAAAGCAGTATTTTAAACCAGTTTCGATTCTCTTCTCCAAGGAAAGTGGGCACAGGCTGAGAGAATACCCAGAGCTGACTCAGTCCCAGACTTTGGCCACCCTGGAGGGGACAGCTGACTTTGCTGCTTCTCCACAGCCTGAGGCTATGTTCTTTGTGCCAGGAAAGGTCATTTTTATCCTGATCCTGCTAGGCTTGTCATATCTTGATAAATATTTCAAAAGGCAGTGAGGGATCAAGATTAATCTTGCTCAGAACTGGTTTGTAACTGCACGTCTGGCCCGGGACCCTGCTGTCTAAGGCCTGACTGAGTTTGAAGGTTATTCCCTTTTTGGAAAGGTGCTGGTGCCACTCCAGGATTGGCTGGAAAGTTCTACTTGGATGACCCAGAGCATTTACGTTTCTTACATAAGGTCAGGCCCAGAGGAGCGTGGGGATCGGCCCTTTGCAGAGTTGACAGCCGGGTCCCCCTTTCTGCCAAGAGGACAGGGGTAAAGGTTTAAAAAAACAGCCAGACTCTCAAGAGGTAGAAGCACAAAATCTCAGCCTTGCCAGTGTTAACCATTCACGCCCCAGAAAAGACAGTTCGGAGATAAAAATCACATCTTAGTACCATGTGGTGCTGCTGCTTTCCTGAGCCCAGTTAGTCCCAGAGATGTCAGTGACAACAAGGGTTGGCTTACCCTCTTGTGTACAGGAAATTAAAATGGCATGAAAACCCTGTCCAGATTTTTTCTAAAGTTGGAACAGCTTGTCTCAGTCCTCGGACCTAGAATTCAGTGAGATTCTTTGTTTGTTGTTTACTTTTTATTTTTAAACTTACCATTTAAGGCCAAAGAGTTCCAGTATTAATAACTTACTCAACTAGTTAGTGGCTAGTGTTGTAAACATCAAGAATTCCTTAATTTAACTGGTTGAGGGAAACTAAATTGGAGTTGTCCCGTGATAATTAGATGACACCTTCCCAGGAAAGCTCTGAAAGTACTGTGTAGACATTTAATGACAATGCTTATTTTTTGCTTGGTAGATTTTTTTGCTTTGTTTTGTTTTGTTTGTTTGTTTTTGAGACAGGGTCTTGCTCTGTCGCCCACCCTGGAGTGCAGTGGCATCATCATAGCTCACAGCAGCCTCAAACTCCTGGGCTCAAGCGATCCTCCTGCCTCAGCCTCCTGAGTAGCTGGGACTACAGGTGTGTGCCACAATGTCCGGCTAATTTTTTCTATTTTTTGTAGAGATGGGGTCTCAATTTTGCTCAGGATGGTCTTGAACTCCTGTTCTCAAGCAATCCTTCTGCCTGCAAAGTGCTAGGATTACAGGTGTGAGCCACCAAGCCGGCTATTTGGTGGTGGCGGTGGTGGTTGTTTTGCAAATGAAGAAAACAAGGCATAGAACAAGGAGTCACTTTCTCGGGGTCATGGGAACAAGTCAGATGGAGTGCATCCTTCCTGCCTAGCATCTTTGAATCTCCTCACTCAGGTGCACACTTGGGATTGGGTCATCTGCTGTTGTTGCCTTTTTATTCAGTATTTCGGTAAACTCATACACAGTTGGAATAATAACGAGACATTAGCAGAAATACTTAGAAATGTGATCACTTAGACGGCTGTGTGATTAGGATTGCTCATTGATAAAACTGCAATAAGGGAGGGAAGGTAGACATTTCAGATAGAGAGATCACGCGTGTCACCCAGGCATGTTAGTGGCTGTTAAAGTGCTATGGGAAAATGGCAAACATAATCTTTGTGATCTTCTCTCAGCCTAGTTCTCCACTTTCCTGATTTTATATCTATAAACTTTTAAAAGTGTGGCATACTGTGAAAAATAATGTATTAACTAAGAAATCGTCAGTGCTGGCAAAACTAAAATGGAATTAGCTTGCCTTGTGATTTCATCAGCAACAGGTTTAGACTGTAATGCTTCACTGTAGAAAATGGCC